TTTTTGGGTGGAAAGTACAAGGTTTATATTTATGATTTATAGAGTACTGTTAAGAGTTCTGACACAGTGATTCAGTTAAATTTGTCTTGTGTTCCTTGGTGGTCATCTGCTTACTTACATCAAACAGTGTAAACTTACAGTATTGATAAATACCATACTGTAAATGTGTTTTCTCTTCCTCCTGATTTTCTCTTCTTCATGATTTTCTTCCTTAACATTTTCTTTAGCTTATTTTATTGTAAGAATAGAATGTATAATACATATAACTCACAAAATATGTGTTAGTCAACTGTTTTGGTGAGATTTTTGGTTGACCACAAGGTATTAGTGGTTATGTTTGGGATAGACAAAAGTAATCCATGGATTTTTATTGCCTGGAAGTTAGTGTTCCTAATGCTTCTGTTATTCAGGGTCAACTATGGTTTGTTTCTTTTGCTGAGGAATAATTTACTGTACTACATTTTTTTAATCCATTTAATAGTTGAAGAACATTGGGTTGTTTCCAGTTTTGGGTAATTGTGAATGAAACAATGAACACCTGTGTATATAGGTTTTTGTATAAATGTAGTTTTCATTTTTGTTGGCTCAATATCTAAGAACGGGATTCTTGGATCACGTGGTAGCATGTCTAACTTAGTAGAAATTATCCAACTGTTTTCCAAAGTTGTAGCCTGGACTTACTTACCAGCAATTTATAAGAAACCCAGTTGCTGTGCATCCTTGTCTGTAGGTGGTATTAGCAGTTTCTTTATAGCTGTTATGATATGTGTATAGTGATTTTTTTATTGGGATTTTAATTTTACATATCACTGATTAATAAATGTACCACCTTTTTATGTGCTTATTTGCCATACTTACATCATTGGTGATGTGTCTGCTCAACTATATTAACCCATTTTTTAAAAACGTGTTTTATTTTTAGGTTGATCTTTAAGATTTCTATAGTAATTTAGGGACAAGTTCTTTATCAGATACATGATTTAAAAGAAAGACTTCTGTTCTTAACTAATATTGACACAATTTTTACTTTAAATAGTAATTTATCTTTTAGAACAATTAAGGGGGAAAGTGTCCTTTATATTTACCTTAACTTTTTTTTTGAGTCATTTCTTTTTCAGATCTAAATGTGTGTGTGGAAACAGATATCTTCTGCCTAAAGAATTTCTTTCAATATTTCTTGTAATGCAGGCTTTCTGATAATGAATTATTTACATTTTTCTTTGTCCAAAATGTCTTTTCTCCATCATTTTTGAAAGCTTGTTTTTGCTGAGTATGAAATTCTGGGTTGATAGTTTCTTTTAGCATTTGAATTATGTCCCCCATTGTATTTTGGTTTGTAGAGTTTTTTTTTTTTAAAGACTTATTTTATTTATGCAAGCTATAGCTGTGATATAGGCCAGAGATGCAGGGGAGTGAGAGGATTCACCAGAGACAGAGTCGGGAGAAGAACAGGTGGTTCTCTTGAAATACACTGCTGAGGGAAAAAGTAGGCAAGACAGGAGAGGTCTGTTGTGCCATGTGGGTCAGCTTGCTGTCCAGGGATCAATCTTGTGCTGCAGATAGCTTCATAGCGCTGAGACTTAACCCCTTGCGCCACAGGGAGTGGTGTATATATAGTTTTGGATGTGAAGCGTGATGTAATTCTTATCCTTGTTCTCACATATGTAATTTAGGCTATTGTTAATTCTGTTTTCAAGGACAGTTTACTAATCAAAAGAAGCAAGACTCAAAAGAGTATATGGTCTGTGATTCCATTTATGTGCATCTCTGGAAAAGAATTTATAATGACAGAATATAAATTAGTGTTTCCTTGGACTTTGTGGTGTTTCAGGCAAAACTAACTTAAAATGGCACAAGGGTACTATTTAGGTTGATTGAAATATTCTTTGCTTGATTGTGTTCTTAGCTAAATGAAAGTATTCATGTGTCAAATTTATTAAACTTATTTAATCTTTGAAATGGGTATATTGTATGAAATTTTTATCTCTATACAACAATCAGGATTTATTAGCTCTAGGTTGTGCAGTAAAGGGAATTTGGGAGTAGAATATACATAGTAGAGAAATTAACCAACATGCAGGAAGGAAAGAGAAAGAGATAAAATACGTAAGTGGGAGTGGCATGAATTTTAGGGTGAGAATAATTTAGATACTTTTACTCAGTCTTTCATCAGGATATTAGGAGAAAAAATCAGTCTTTAAAGTAGGCACTTTAGGCATAAGTAAATGATCCTAGATGGATGCTCTGAGATACAGTAAATAATGAAGAACAAAGAGAATGGTAAATATGTGTGCAAACATAAGAGAACATAATGTTTGGTGTTACAGACAGAGCAATAATAAACATAGGAAGGAAGTCTTAAGTTCTGGGAGAATGAGAAATGATTTTGATTAACTTTAGACCTATAACCTAAGTTCTGGTTAACCTCAAGAAGAATAGAAATAGAGTGCACAATTTCCATATTGAGAAAGAACAAAGCTGAACCATATTCATATTCAGTCAAGTCTAAAGTTTGTAAGAAAGAAGACCATAACTATAGAATCTTCTAATGACGCTTAACTGAGGAGGGGGAAAGTGAAAACATAAATAACCCAAGTAAGAAATAAAAACAAAAGTACATTACTACAGATGGTATTGACATTAGATAGATTAAAGAATAATTAAACATTTTATGCAAATAAATTAGAAAATAATAAAAATGGTCCAGTTCCTAGAAAGCTGTAACATTAGAAATAGAATATCTGAAGAGTCCTATGACAGTTAAATAAATTTGGTTAATAATAAACACTTTAGAAAGACTTTATTCTCAGTTGACATACCTGACATGTTCCACTAATATTGAGGCAAGGAACCCTACATTTCCTAATTTTTACCCCAGAGAGTAGCAAAACAAAAAATACTGCCATTCATTTTATGAGGATAATATAACATTAATATCATAACTGACGTACAGAGGAAATCATAGATCATTCTCCGTGTTGAACATAGATGCAGACATTTTAAATGATCTATCCAGATGATAATCCAGCAAAAATATACCTCATGATAATGTTGCATTTTCCCAGGAATGGAAGAGGGTAGTTTAACTTTCTTTGTAATTCACCATATGAAATTATTTAAGAAAAAAAAATGACATCATTTCAATAGATTCTAAATAGATTTATCAATTTGATAAAATTTCTCCATCTGTTCGTGGTAGGAAAAAGCCCATAGCAAGCTAGACATGAGTGAAACATCTTTAATGTAATAATTAGTATTTGTCTTAAAAGTATAAAGCAGATGTTTAATGATGAAACTTTATGTGTGAAAGATTAGGTATAAGTCAAGGATTCTTGTTAATCACTACTGATATTCAACATCATGATGGAGGTCTAGTCAAGGCATAAAGGCAAGACTAGGAAAGAAGAAAGCAATTAGGGTAAGGAAACAATAAAACTATAGATATTTTTGTGTAGAGAATCATCAGATTAATTTTTATAAATAGGAAGTTTAGAGGTGTTGGTAGATTCAAAGTCAATATGCAAACCTCAGTTGTGTTTTTATAAACCTACAGGAAACACAACTTTTAACTAAAGATACCATTTACATTTGCACCAGTATTATGCAGTCTGAATACATCTTGAAAGGATTATTATTTGCCTTATCTTCGGAGGAGTTGAGAAACACTGTAGAACAAAAGTATTAAGTTCTTATTTGTGTTCTTATTTTCAGGCTTAAATCTTGAAAATGTGTATGATTTAAAATCAGTAAGCTTATACAGGAAGAAGCTATACATTCTGTCCAATATACCACAGAATAACATCCTAAAGTTATTTTGCAATGCTATTTTTTGTGCATACTGATCACGGTAAAATATTATTGGAATATCTTTGTAATGGAAAGTTTGGGCTCAGTCAGTCTACTCAAAGATGAAAATCTTTTCTGTAGCATTCTTGAAAGTTCTCCCTGAGGATCATTCACTTTTCTGCCTGAAATTTCTACTTGCAGGGACTAGTACTAAATCATTTTAGTGCATTTCCCAAAAATTTTACTAAGTACATATTTTCCCAAGTACCACAATAACAACCTAACTTTGTCATATCTACAGCAGTATCAGATGTAAGATGCATGATTTCTTCATGTTCTGTTAAATGAAAAAAGTTGCCCTTTTTGCCTGTGGCACACAGTTGATCTTATGATACATGAAATGTTTCAATTAGTATTTCCGCTGTTTTACAATTTAGAACTACTACAGAGAAAATCTCTTTTTCATTTTGTGGATCTATAATGCCACCTTTAATTTTGTTTCCTCTCTATAAGCTTCCTAAATTTTTTTGTTTTTGGTTCCTTAGTTATTTTGCCATTCTAGTCATTTTCCTTTGGATGCCTAATAACTTTATCAACTGATAATACAGACTTTCAAAGGAACATTTAAAATCTTATATATAGCATATCCAGAAAATAGAATGCTTGGCACACAAATGGGTTTTGTTTACTTGACAAGATTTTCAGTCATTTTTCTCTTAAAACAAGGTAATACATATTCATGAACAAATTGTTGTGTTTGAATTTTTACAGGTAGGTTTAAATTTTACACATCTACTTCACACAGTTGACACTCCTATTGATACTCATATAATCATTTTTGTCATTGAGATTAAAGATACTGTTTTTTAACATTTTTTGTAACAAATAGTTTTTTTCTAATTAGTCTTCTCTTTATGAAATTTTTACAAAATAAACTTGCCCATCTGGGAATATTTCTAAATGACAAAGGTGTTTATCTGTTTTACTAGTAAGAATTTGAATATTTTAATTTCTTTACAGCAGTGTAATACCTCATCATGGTTTGACTATTTGCTATGTTGAAAATTGCTTAGTTCAACTTCATTGATCTAAAGAAAAAATCATAGTGCATAGTAATGTTAAATTTATAATTGTATGACTCAGATAGTTTTTTATTATTAAAAATAAGTTTTTTCTGGTAGTGAATGTATGTTTTTCTCTTTTTCAAAACACAGGTTTTGAGAGTATTCTAGAAGGGCTTTATGGACCACGGCTACGAAGAGACCTCAGTTTATTTGAAGGTAATTTTTTTTAAGGAAAATTTTAACCTATCCTATTTGCAAATTAAAAATAGTTGTTCTACATTAACTTTATATCGAACATGAATTTGTGATCTCATTTAACTGGAAGATATTTTTAAATGAATAAATAAAATGAGCCAAATATTATTCCACTCATTTATGTTAATATAATCTTTTGAAAGTTTTGGTACACTAATCAAAATAAAAAACAAAGCTTATTTTTATCTCAATGGTGAAATTAATTTTTGTTAGTTTGTACATTGCATTCTCGTTCTTACTCTTAAAAAAATTTATAGAGATTATATTAAATAAATATCTCTTAATTGCTCTGTGATATAGGCATCCTGAAACTCAGATTGCCACTCCTGGAGCCCATGACAAGTATTTAGAGTTTTACATTATGTATAATATTATTATTTATTATAGCCTCCTCTTCTAAATGCACTAGCATAAATTCCAATGGAAGATATTGATCTGTGATTTAATTGCTATGAAACCATAATTTAGTTATTTTATTACTTGCTTGGGAATGTAGAGCCCTAGGAGAAAACATTTTTGTAAACATTAAGACTGTAAGACAACTCTTACAGTATAGTTAATTTTCAAAATGGGTAAGTGCTAATACTGATTTTCTGCTTTTGATTTTGATTGAAGTTTTTTGAATCTTATATCTGCTTGATTTATGTGGTGTTTATTGCTTTGTTACCTTCTGTTCTGGCACCTTCCATTCTACTAAGAACTGTGTTATTCTCTGAAGGTCATTCTCTTTTCTGTATAAATAAATCTTTAGAGTGAGGAGTCATGTGGGAGTAGTTAAAAGTTTTCTGCTCACTATTTTTTGTTAAAGATTTATTTATTTAAGCATATAAGAACTGGGTACGGGCCAGAGGTGTGGGAGGTGAGAGGATTCACCAGATACAGAGCAGGGAACAGAACAGGCAGATAGGCTGAAGTACACTGCTGAGGGGAGCAGCGAGCAAGACAGAAGAGGTCTGCTGCGCCATGTGGGTAGCTCCCTGACCGGCGGGGATCGAACTTACGCTGCAGTGGTTGCAGCCAGCCTCACAGCACTGTGCTCAACCTGTTGTGCCACCAGTGAGGCCCCCTTTCTGTTCACTACTAATGTTGGGTTATGAATCATAGAACTGAAAGTATCTATGAATTATCATTTCTCCCAACCACCATTCTTCAGTCAACCAAATGATATCTTGTAGAATGTAACTCTAAAAATGGAGGCTCCAATTGTGTCTATTCATTTGTAAGGCTAAAACCGTTTATCTTTAATCATTTCTCATTTTATCATAGTTTAACACTGAATTAAATGTTTTTACCTGGTATGTTTATAAGCAGTACTAATTACAGTTTCACCTATTTTCCTGTGCTTCCAAATGAGCAAAAGAAAAATTTAAAGAAACACAAATTTAATCTATGTTTGATGTTTTCTTCAGCTACTATTTCTTAACCAGCTGCCCTCATTTATATCAGTAATCAGCATTATACTTAATTGCTGCCTGGTAACCCAGTTTGCAACTTGTAACTTCTTTTATTTATTTATATAGTTACTATGTATGTATATATTAATATTCCTTCAGAAATTCATTGGTTTTTATATGGAAGACAGGATGTTCTAAAAAAATAAATGTTTGTGTTTTTATTTTTTAAAAAAAGAAAAAGAATTATTCATTTATGCATACAAGAGCTGGGGGTACAGGCCAGAGATGCAGGGGAGTGAGAAGGATCCACCAGAGACAGAGTGGGAAACAGAACAGGCAGACGGACTGAAATGCACTGCTGTGGGAAGCAGCGGGCGAGACAGGAGAGGTCTGCCTCACCATGTGGGTTGCTCCCTGGCCAGGCCCGGGGATCGAGCTCATGCTGCAGAGGCTGTGGATTGCTTCATAGAGCGGTGCCTAACCCCTTGTGCCACCAGGGAGGCCCAAATGTTTGTGTTTTTAGATTAGTATTTTTTTAGTATACACGTTAACACGTTCATTATAGAAAATTAGAAAATACAGAAAAAACCACAAAGAAATTAACCCTTGTCCCATGACCCACAGATAACGGTGAACGTTTTTGTATAAATGTAAACTATATGTTTGTATGTATTTTATTTTAGCAGTATATATTGTAAATACAGTGTGTACAGTTTTTGTGCCTGTTGTATTTGTTCACTGGTATGTCATTTAGGTATGTCAAGTTCTGGATCATCGTTCTTAATGACCACATAAATTTCATTGTGGAGCTCACTAATTTAATATCTCATTGCCATATATCTCATTCTATTTATTGTTTTAATTCAGGTAGATCTTTTACTTTATGTCCCTTTTCTCTGTGTTTTTGGAGAAAAGGGGAGTTACAAGATGAGCTCAGCTTTGCAACTCAGTGTTTTTTTCATCCTGCGCATGTTTATTTCATTGTTTTTTTTTCATCACCAGATATCCGAATTTTTTTCCCCAGATTTCTTAGGTAAAGCGATCTTCCTTTTTCTTACTTTTTTGAATTAAAAGAAAAATCTCTTAAAAGTTAAAGGCTTCAGAGTGATGATATCAGTTATGGTAGTAAATCTGTATCTGTGCAAGGTTGAAGACAGCCATATGTTTTGAAGGAAAATTAAACAGGCATGTAGTAGCTATCAATTACAGACATCTTCATCTCCTATTCTGTCCTCTTCTAGATAAGCGTGCTTGCTTTATTCTTAATAGTTATTGAAAAATGGTTTCATGTTTAGATGCTAAGATTACTAGTATAAGTTTCTCTTGATATATAAATATCAAGGCCTGTCTTCTTTCTCCACCTCATAACAACTCAGTTTTCTTGCTGTCACAGAACTTTTAAGCAAAAATCCACCTGTGTTTTCTACATTAGTCAGTCCTTTATCATGTTTTATTAGTGAGCCAGTTTCTTTCACCCATGTGATTATCTGATTTACTTGCCTTGACTATGGGCATTTACAAAAATATAAATAGTGTAGTAAGCCTGTATAAACTGACAGACCTTTTTTGGTTTTTCTTTAGATGTGTCCACATTTCAAAGGGAGATTATATCAGAGGTCTGTAGGCCATAGCATGTAGTCCAGATCCAGCTCGTTGGCTGTGAATGACCTATGAACTAAGGGTGGCTTTGTATGTTTAATAGTTAAAACAACTGAAAATAATTATTTTATAACATGTGAAAGTTACATAAAGTTCAAATTGTTAGTAAAGTTATTAGGCGTGGCCCCTCTCATTTGTTGACTTATTGTCATGGCTTCTTCTGTATTACAACTGTAGAGTTTAATAGTTATGACAGAGTCCTTATGGCTTACAATTCTAAAATATTTACTATCTGACTGCTGATCCTTGACTTACACCACTAATTGAAATTTAATGCTTTTGACTCAGTATCCTTTTCTGCAACTATTAGCATTATGACAATAAAACTTTTAATAAGATTTATTGGGTGAAAACTTTTCTTAGCATTTTAAAAGGACAGGTTTACTAGGAAACAGTAAAAGAAAAAAGAGACACCTTCATAGACACAGATGGGCAGTATTGGGAGGAAGGTTGCTTGGATGAAATATTTTGAATGCTTATTTTGTGTTAGGTACATTAGTAATATGGAAAGAAACACGAATAAGAATCTTTTCCTCCAGCAAGTCACGATCTAGTATTAACTAAGAAGTGCCTTGTCTTCTAAAATGAATAGATTATTTATATTAAAACCATAGAATCTAATATTGGCTTATCAACACTGCTCTTATCAATGTAAATGCAACAGCTCAGTTGAGTATATTCATCCATGGTGTTTTTAATACCAAGATTCCAAGATCAAGGAAATAGGTTAAATATCAGGCAGTAGTATATTGTAAATAAGATACTATATATCTCTTTGATAAACTTGCTTATTAAAAAATATATTTTTATATTTATATATTGTGTTTGTGCACAAATACGTTTGTATACAGTAGAGCATGGGAGATTTTGTGATAAATCAACGTGTGTATAATCTGATCCTAATTTTTAAAATAATTTATTTAGAGTTTTAAATTTATGGTAACATGGAGTAGAAAGTAGAATTTCTTCCCCCCTCAGTTTTCCTTACATTAACATCTTTCATTGATGGTGATTTGTTATTTACTATCTTTGTATCTTGGGTGATACAAAGTGAAAAAATGAAAAAAACATTTTCCAATGCGTTTAGGTATTTGGATAATGGTTGAATCACAATTGATGAATCATACTGTAGTTTATATTAGATTCATTCTTTGTGTGTTGTATATGCTTTTTGCCAGAAGTACACTGTCACAAACCTGGCATTATAATGTTAAACACAATAATTTCACTGTCCTAAAAATCCTTCGTATGCCAACTTTTCACTTTTCTTCCCTGCCCCAACCCATGTCAAACAATGATCTAGTTACTGTCTCCTTATTTTTTCTTTTCAGAATGTCTTGTAATTGGCATCATACAGTTTGTAGACTTCTTGGACACTTCTTTCACTGAACAGTGTGGCCCAAAGTTCCTCTGTGTCTTTTCATGGATTTGTAGCTTTTTTTTTAATTGCTGAATAATACTGCCTTGTATGGATGTACTACAGTTCATTTATCCATTCACCTATTTGAAAGAAATCTTGGCCGCTTCTAAGCTTTGGTAATTTTGAATAAAGCAGGTATAAGCATTCATGTGCAAGATTTTGTGTGGATGTAACTTTTCAATTCATTTGGGTAAATACAAATACCTCTTGAGCACCATTGCTAGATCATATGGAAAAACTCTGATTTTGTAAGAAATTGCTGGACTATCTTCAGAAGTAGTTCTATTGTTTTGGTTTCCCATCAGTAATGAATTTAAGTTCCTTTTGCTCCACATCCTCACACACATTGATGTTGTCAATGTTTTGAACTTGAACCATTGTGATAGATGTGTAGCAGTATCTCATTGTCGAAAATTCCAGTTTTCTAATAAAATACAATATTGAGCATCTTTTTATAAACTTATTTACTATCTTTGTATCTTGGATGAGGTGTCTTTTCCAACATGTTTAGGTATTTGGGTAATGGTTGAATCACAGAATGAGTGAGGAAGTATTTCTCTGGTTCTGTATTCAGGGCAGATTGTAAGATCATATGGGTTGGTGCTTTCTGTTCTGAAAGTTTATTAATGAATTGATTGGTGAAGATTTTTATTTATTATGATTGATTTAACTTCTCTAGTAGATTTAAACCTGTTGATATTATCTATTTTTTTCTTATGTGAGTTTTAGTAACTAGTGGCTTTCGAGGAATTGTCCAATGTATCTAAAGTGACCAAACTTGCAATTACTTTTCATAATATTGTTTTATTATCCTTTTGATACCCATATGCTCAGTAGCGATGGCCATCTTTCATGTCTATATTAGAAATTTATGTTATCTTTGTTGTTGGCTAGCTTGCCTAGTGGTTTATCAGCCTTACTGATCTTTTCAAAGAATCAGCTAATCCTGATTTTTAAAAAAGCATAAAATATAAATTAAAATGTTAACCTTTATCTCGGTAATGGGATTACAAACAATTTTTCCTTTTCTCCTGTGTTTTCAGTATAGTTTAATATGTGGTTTTATTTTGAAAAACTATCTCTTAATTATGTTACCTACTGTTCAGTATCTTTCCCCAAAATCAACAGTTAAAACTACTTTTTTCGGCCTCTCTGGTGGTGCAAGGGGTTAAGCACAGCACTGTGAAGCTATCTGCAGCCACTGCAGCACAAGTTCCATCCCTAGCTGCCAAGGAGCTACCCACATGGCGCAGCAGACCTCTCCTGTCTTGCCCACTGCCCCCCTCAGCCATGCATTTCAGTCAGTCTGCCTGTTCTGTTCCCCATTCTGTCTCTGGTGCATCCTCTCACCCCCCACACCTCTGGCCTGTACCCCGGTTCTTGTATGCATAAATAAATCTTTAAAAAAATAAATAAAACTACCTTTTCATGAATAACTTAGTTCAGTATTCTCCCATTTCAGTTTTCATTGAGCTTTAGTAGATTCCAAAATTATGTTTTATGATTGAGCTTTAGAGATTCCAGAATTATTTTTTATGATTAAAAGATACTGAAGAGAATAAAAATATTCAAGAAAAGTATGGTTTTTAAAAGAAAGGGAAATTTACATCTATTCGACTTGGTATTTTGCATGTGTTTTTATTTAATTTTTACTATAGCCTTAGGATGCAATTGTTATCCTCATTTTATAGATGAGGAAATTGAAGCTCAGAAAAGTTAACTTGCCCAAGGTCACAGCTACTTTGTGGAAATCCTACGGTTCAGTACCAAGGCCTTCTAGTTTTAGTGTCTGTTATCTTTCCAAGACAGATTAGGCGAAATGATGGGAGCCAGACTTTGAACCCAAGAATGTATGTCCCTGGTGGAAAGGTTGATGATCTTCATCAATCATTTGCTATCAGGTTTCATTATGACATTGCTTTTTCTTAATAAAGCTATTTCTATAAGGTACATAATTTGACCAATTTTGAGTTTATAGCTTCATGTGAAAGTATGAACTTTCCAAGATAGAGCTTCTTTTAGAGAGGAATGTCTGATTCATTGTCAAATTTTGAGAGATAAAAAGGAGCAGTATTTATTTAATTTTATGACAGGAAAAAGTAACCTGGACACAGAGATAAGATAAAGCTAGTTGAGTTAATTTTTTAAAATCTCTTTCCATTTATAAAAAATGTTTCCTAACTATTATTTATTTCAACTCAAAGTTGAGTTGTTAAAGAGTAATTATTAAATATTTGTATTTAAAGTCAGTTTTGAATCAGTCAAAATTTAATGACATTTGTATGATCATTGATTATTCAGTGCTGTTTAACTATGTAGGCATTATTTTAATGAACATCTTGAAAGCTTATCCTAAAATAATTAAAATTAAGTGATGATAATCTCAGAATTGCCTAATTTTAGCTTGCAAAGTTGTTGTTCCTTAAGTCAACATATTTATCACTGAAAGTTTGTAAAAGCATAGAAACATTTTTTAAAAACACCCCATCTCCAGGCCTCATAGTCATTTTTCAGAAATTTCGACGGTAGGATCCCTTTCATAGTCCCTATTCATGAGACCATAATAAAAAAGAAAAATGTAAGATTTCTTTGACCTATGAAAATTATGTTGGGAATATGAGTCAAGTTTTTGCTACAAGTAATACTGCATAACAAAGAACTCCAAAATCTCTTGCATGCTTTATGGGTGATCTGTTTTCCTGGACTCTGGACTGTGGATAGATATCATATCATCTTCTTAGGACTCCAGGTCCCAGTCTAAGGCAGATGTGTATTACATTGCATGGGTGGAAGCTTATGAGAACTGGAGGGACTTAACATGCCTCCTAGCGCCTGAGCTTGGAATATGTGTTATTACTTCTCCCACATTCCTTCCTTGGTCAGAGTGTTTTCCCTCTTAATAAGAGACTCTATGAATGATACTATATTCAAGAGTATGAATGAATGATTCTGTTCTAGCAACAAGGGTGAACTGTATATAAATCTACATAGCTGCAATTCTGGGTTTTTAATTGTGTAGATTGCTTAAACTTCATTGGATTGCATGCAAAAAGTTGTCGATTTTCTTAAGCACATATTAAAAAGTGTCTATCTTCAGCATACCAACCTAATTATAAGATGCAAGTGTAATGGTACAAGATTTGAAAAATGGTGATAAAAATTCTACCTTGTTTATAATTAGTCTTGTAGTTTCTAATTTATTTTCACATTTTTTCATTTGATCCACAAATAAGGTGGTAGGATTCTTATTTTATATATGAGGAAATTAAAATAAAAACCTTGTGACTTGGGCCTCCCTGGTGGCACAGCAGTTGAGTGCTGGGCTGTGAAGCTGCCCACAGTCTCTGCAGGGCTGGTTTGATCCCTGGCCGGCTGGCGAGGGTCCCACATGGCGCGCAGACCTCTCCTGCCGCACTCACTGCTCCCCTCAGCAGTGTATTTCATCAGTCTGCCTATTCTGCTCCCCACTCTGGCTCCGGTGAATCCTCTCACCCTCCCGCTCTTCTGACTGTACCCAGTGCTTATATAAATAAATAAATAAGTCTTAAAAAAATAAAAATAAAAACCTTGCGACTTGACAAGGTTACAAATGGCAAGTTCCATCCCAGATTTTTGGACACTTCAAATCTAAATGGTATCTTCCCATTACCCTATACAGGTCCTCATGTTCTTATTCCCTATCCTTTCCAATTTTAGATAAATGTTTGGAATATTTCTGAAAGTCAAAAGGTATTATCACTGCAGTTTTAAACTATTATCTTAACCTTAGATAATAGTTTATCTAAGATAATTAAGTTAATTATCTTTTCTGACCCATATATCTAGATTGAGGCGGGAGTATCCAGGAGCTGATCTTAGCTAGTATTTATACATATCATTACAAAAAAGAAAAGCTTATTTCCTGTGTAGTTTAGCAGCAACATGTACTTGATTTCATTGTGCATTTCAAAAGTATGTGGTACTCCTGTGCTTTTTTTTTTTTTAAGATTTATTTTATTTATTTATACAAGCACTGGGTACAGTGAGAAGCGTGGGAGGGTAAGAATTCACCAGAGCCAGAGCGGAGAGCAGAACAGGCAGACTGACGAAGTACACTGCTGAGGGGGGAGCAGCGGGCGGCAGGAGAGGTCTGCGCACCATGTGGAACCCTCGCCCTGTGGCTGGGGATCAAACCGGCGCTGCAAAGGGCAGCTTCACAACCTAGCACTCAACCGCTGCACCACTGGGGAGGCCCCTCTTGTGCTTTTTAGCTGTCAAAGATAATGATAATAATTTTATGTATTTGAGATCCCACTTAGGAATTTTGGAGGGGGGGAATGGGGAATTTCTGTTGTGTGGAGTAAGTTTGAAGCGTCACTGTCTATACCAAGTATAGTTAGGATGACAAGTGTAATTACACCTTCATAAAATTCTTTCATCAGGAAATGTTTGTTTTCCAGAAACACTAATATATTACAATAGTTGCATTATAAGGAACGCTGTTGTGGTAGAAAATCCATGATTTGTGCTGAATAATAAAACTTACTGCTTTTTACTCTAATACTTGCAACAAAGGCTTTAAACAATGTAATGAAAATCTGATCTGACTTTTTAAGCTTTGGATTTCTACTTTTTTCTTGGACAGGATATCACTGTCTCAAATCTGTGGGCTTTTTTTGGTGCTTCATTTTTTTATTTTAATGTTGTCTTTCATGATGTACAAAATTCATTCCTTCCTCATATCTCCCTGTTCATTCTGATTTCTGTAATGTGAAAATAAAAACAATATCAGTGATAAAATGAGTCTTTAAGATGGCTCGATGATACTTAAATTCCTGGTGTTGAAAAATTAATTTATGACCCACTTGTTCTTGCTAATCTGTCCCATAATAGTGCAAAATTACTCTCCTTATGGCCTTTTCTGTTTCTTCTAGATGTTGCCAGTTTAATTTTAAAGTTAGTCTTTTTCCCCTTACTATTAGTAACTAGCCTCTCTCCTTTCCCCCCCACCCATATGAGCCATTGCTGTGGAGAGTGGTAATTTTATTTGTATTAATAAAGTTAGTGTATTTAATGAATATTTTTCCCTCTTTTAAAGACTGTGAACCAGAAGAGCTGACTGACTGGTCTATGGATGAAAAATGTTCATTTTGTAACCTACAGAGAGAAGCAGTCAGTGTAAGTTATAGTGCTATGAAATTATTTCTAAATTACATAATTGTAACACAATTTTGTAACTTAATTTGTTCTGAAAATTTGTGACTTACAAGTAGAAATTTAAATATATGACTTTGTTAATGAGAAGAATATTTTAGAATCTTATGTTAGAAAGCTGATAGCTTAACTTGCAGTTGAATATCTCAAAGTATTCATCTTTTTTGCTTATTTCACATTTCTTTCTCAGAGCTCTCTCGCTCACGAAGTTCAGTTCATGTCTGTTTTATTTTTAGGTAGAGAAGGGTGAGCTTAGAAGCCTAGTTTGGTCTGAGGCCACCCTATAGTCTAATTTCTTAGGAAGCAGTACTGGGAGGATAATGTGATAACTGCTTTTAGCCTTTTACTTTCTCTTGAAGTCTTTTGTATATCACAATTATCTTGTGTATAAATAATCAAATATCATTGTGTACCCTAAATAGGACGTATTAAACTATGCAAGCAGCATCTTCTTGTGTGGTAGGAATCCTAATGCTTTATGTATTGTGAGAAAGTCTTGATAAGAAATGAGAACTTAAGAACCTGTACACCTTTTGGTCAGATTAGTGGATAAACATACCTGTTTTATTGTTAGAACTCTTTGGAAGTATGATATTACAACAAATTGAGTTAGCAATATGTACTTTATCAGCTATTCCCTCTTTGGACCACAGTTTTACTTAGGATTAAGTAATTAGCCCCTCAAAGCTAAATTTCTTTTTTTTCCTGACTCCAAATTTTATGTTCTTTCTGTATAACTTGATATATTTAAAAAGTGAAACAAATGAACATCTAGACAATGCTTTGCTATTTTTTAATAGAGTAGTGTGTTTAAATTAAAAGAGTGAATTCTTAAAATGTTGTTTTCTTTTAATTTTAGGATTGCATGCCTTCTCTTGATTCTTCACAGTCAACACCAACAGAGGAACTATCATCTCAGGGCCAGTCCAACACTGAAAAGATTGAATGCCAAGCAGAAACTTACCTAAATGCACTCTTTCGAAAGAAAGGTAATACTGGTGTACTCTGTCATTTAAAATTTGCAATAGAGATCTATAATGTTTGAATTTTTCTCACATACAAGTTTTCTTTATATCTCATTCTCTATTTCCTACTTGCTGCTTTCTTTTTCCTTACTTTTTCTTCATATTTTTCATGTATATTACGATACCCAATCGCTGTAGTCCTAGTCTTCTATTTGGTATTCCTTTTCACTATTTTATCCTGAAATCTTTCCCTATTTTATACATTTTACTCTCTTACTATAGACAGACAGGGAAATTTTTTTTATGCTTCTGGTCTTTATTTTGATGCTGATCTATCTCAAGAGTTCAACTTTTTTTCATTGTCAGTAAGTAATAGATACATTGCAAAACTATATTTAGAAATACAGCAGTTAAATCATTCATCAGCCAAGTTGTGATTTCAGTGTTTCTTTGGCAGTTTGAATATACTTACTTGACATTAAAATGTCAGTGTTTGTTTTTGCTTCCTAAACCACTTGAACCACTTGTTTCATTTGTTACATAACTTGATACAGGTATATCAGGAAGTAGTTTTTATATCTTAGTTACTGGGGGAAAATAGAGAAATATGGAATCTTCGAGTTTTTGTTCTTGACCATTTCAGCAGTAGTGTAGAGGGTCTTAATGTTTACCATACATACCTTTCAAATAAAACCAATAGTGTGTGGAGAATGGAGGATCAGATTGGAGAGCATCCCAGCTTCCAGAATTTGAGAAATCCATTCCTGTATTCTCATCTAGGTATTGACCTTGCTTTACTCTCTTTGGAACTGGGTAATACCAGATATTTTCAGTTAAATTGATAAGCTTGTCATTGGTAATATTGGAAACATTCCACACATTTGAGAAAGGAAGTTTTCGTTTCTTTTCATTAGTCTTTTATGTGCTGAAATATGAGAATCTTCTAAGAATCATTATTATATTAAAAGATCTAAATTTAAGAACTATACTTTTTAATTTTAGGGAACTGAAAATCAGTTCCTATGTCTTAACTAAATTAGTGTTGAGAAATTAGCATTATCTTTTAAGAACCACTCATTTTTCAAGATACTCTATCTGGATCTATATTTTAAAATATTTTACATGCTTTCTTTGAGATTTTTGTAACATTCTAATTTGAAAAACTTTATTCTTCCTGTATATTTATACTTATAAGAAGGATTATATTATCAGACCTGTATCTCTGAATGGAGAAAATGTATATTTACACATGCATGCAGCAAGTTGCCCTCACCTTAGAACTCATTATTCGGTTTCCTTTTCTTATCAATAATTTGTAATGGTAGTAGCTAGCATTAACAATGATAATAACCTTTAATTTTTAATTTAGTGTGGAGTTTAACCTATGCTCCATTACCCTGTTAAGAGTAATCAGTAAAAACTTGGTACTATTTCAGCTGATTCAAGCATCTGGGTCTCCAAGAGGTCTCCTACCAATGGTTGGGTGAGTGCTCATGGATATTTAGTGACCTCTTCATTTGGGAATTTCTTGGTTTTCTTCAAGATCTTTGAAGGTTTTCAGAGTTTTTCAGTGAAAGATTCTTACTGGTCTTTTTGCTCTTCTTCAGGCCTTAATTTTTTAACTTTTCATTTATAGTCCATCACTTTCCAGATTTAATTAAGCATAAGGTTTTTTTCTGCTTATGTTTGTTTATTAAAAATTTTTTAGTAAAATAATTTCAGAGTGTTCTAATATGGTCTGACTAGAGTGAAGCTTGAAGATAACTTTTAAATGGCCTTAACTGTTGGTCTTCTATTTAGTTCTACTGTTTACTTTGAAATAAAAGGTTAAAATGTGTTTTTAAACAGGAATTACTTTTTCGGGGTAGCAAATAAAATGTTGATAAAGCATCTTGTCGATGAAGCTTTTACCTGATTATAGAAAAGTCTCCAAAGTTGGCCACTTCTAGGAATTCTGGATATTAGTAATGTTAGCATTACTGATATTTTAAATATGTTGCTTAGTTTGAAGAACATACCATATGCATGCTGATCACCTTGCCAAAAGATAAAGAAATTTTTACTATTCTTATTGTAACATATTTATTGTCTTTTCTAACTATGGCTTTAGGAGATGATGATAAATATAAGCTGATTTTTGTTGAGAATGCAATACTCAAAAAGATGTTATCATTTGAGCACTAACCCTTTTTACGCCAATATCTAGTTTAACCCTAAAGCATTAGTAAGAGGTGTAGATAACTGTTACCATTTTAACTGGTAGAGATAATGAAGCACAAAGAAATTAAGTATTGTGTCTTCTGTGTTACGGACATTTGAGTTTGCAAGAAGAAATTTTAAGAAGATGACAGATATTCTGTGTGAGGAACACCTATATTCTTTAACTGTTCAAGCAGAAAATTCTTCCTCTTCACTATTTAGCAGCCTGAATTGGAAGTATTTGAATTGAATTAGGCTGACTAGCGTAGACTTACAAAAGGTGGATCTATATAGGTCATAGATTCCCATTTTTCCTTTATATGAACAGTTTGGTGATCAGAGTAAACTTACTACTTAAGCAAAAAATTGTTTGGGTAAGTCTCTGTACTTAGAAGTTAGTCAGAAATACTCTTTGAGTAATGAATAAATAGAATAAGGGAGGAGGGAATATTTACAGATAGGAACTTTTAACCGGTTTTGTGTATTTGTTAGCAATTTTTCAAAATTTAATTCCTTCTAGCATTTATCTTTAAAACTGGAGAATGAAAATTCCATGATAGGAACTGTGTTTTGCTAATCATGGAATCCTCAGTATTTTCAGTGAGTAGTATTTGTTGTGCCTTAGGTCTTTAGTAGATACTTCTTGAATGAATGAATGAGTACTTAAAACTCTCCAGGTATCTTTCAGTTTCTGTAATACTCCATACTATTAATACTTCATTTATGCTATTTGGAAGAAGGAAGTTATTTAGCATGTACATAGAATTTATCTTTCCTTTGTACTTAAGTTTATTGCTTGTATAGTTTAAATATCAGTCAGTTTATTTGTTTTGAAATGTCAATAGATACGGGCATATGCATATAGAATACCTGTTGCAAAGCTGTCCCCATGAAATGTAAGCTAAATAAATTATTTTGACTTCTAGCTTTATATTTTCTGATCACCTGAAGTGTAAGCAGTGTAAGTCAGTAGCTTATGATTCAGAAGATGTCTCATCTTTTTTTTTTTAAAGAAGGCTACATAATTTGACTAAATTACATGGGTAGTTGCACATAGTAACTGAATTAAAGATGAATGAATCATAATGCTAAATATAAGATGAAACATTCTTTCATCAAAATATAGTTTGTTTTCCCTGCTTTTTTATCTTTTAGGCACACGTACACTTAGCATTCATGTGAATACTGTTTTGGCCTTTACTTTCCAAGACCTTGATATATTTGATGCAGTTATTTGAAAGCTGAGTATTAACCAGCTTTTTATCCTTAAATTAGTTGATAGCCAGGTTTTTATGTAGTTTTCCTTGCCTATTTTGAACATAGAACTTTTTCCTTTCAAAGTCTCAATTTTTTTTTTTAAGATTTATTTATTTATGTATACAAGCAGTGGGTACAGTCAGACGCGCGGGAGGGTGAGAGAATTCACCAGAGTCAGAGCGGGGAGCAGAGCAGGCAGACTGATGAAGTACACTGCTGAGGGGAGCAGCGGGCAGCAGGAGAGGTCTGCGCGCCATGTGGAACCCTCATCTGGTGGCCAGGGATCAAACCAGCACTGCAGAGGCTGCAGGCAGCTTCGCAACCCAGTGCTCAACTGCTTGCACCACTGGGGAGGCCCTCAAAGTCTTAATTTTTAAGCAGCATACCTCCATGGTGAATATGAATGAAATTCTAAGAACACAATTAAAATTAGAATTGGATTTAAGATTTTCACGTTTCTGGTAAAATCACTTCTACCTGCAGTACCATCTGTGGGGGAAATTAAAGACCAACTGTCAGCTCATTCATCATAATCTAGACACTGATTTTTTTTTATCTTTTTTATTCTTTAATTTGACCCTCTCACATATTCCTTTATAACCAGTGCATATTCTTTCTGCTGTGTCTTGTGGAACTTACGGTCTTTCATCAGCAAAATTCCCTGTGACTTCAGTCTTTTCTCTCAATGTTTTCTTTAGTTTTATTGCTGTTACTGAAGCTTACACATACATAAAAGATGCTTTTGTAGCCCTTTCTCTTGCTGGCTATTTTTAATTCCTTACTTTATGTGGATTCGTTGTGATGTAGTTGGTTAGCAGCCTGTTCTCAAGAAGTTTTACATAAATTTTAGTCAGGGGATTAAGATAATAAACAAGTAAATAATATTTCTGGTTAAATGTGTTGTATATACACACAGGCTGCATATATATATATATATATATATATATATATATGAAAAATACACATATAAATTTAAGTGCTATAGAGACAGTGGGGAAGAGGAGTGTTGGAATGCCAGGACAGAGGTGTAATGGCAATATTATAAAGGGGTAGTCAGATGACATTTAAACAAACATGTAAAAATAAATTGAGGTAGCAAACTATAGAGATCCTAGGGGGAATACATTTTAAGATGTAGAGATTTACTAATTATGAAAAATTAAAGACCAATCAATTGTAACATTTTAAAGTAGGTAGGCGAGTAAGAGATAATTTTTCTCCTTTCCTTTACATACAAAAAAATAATGGATTAATATCTTGACCAAAGAACATGTACTATATATAATGTAAATAATGTAGGAATGTGAGGCAGTGATTGCCAGTAGCACTTAGTAAGATAAACAAGGCAGTTTTAAAAATGTTTGATTAATGGAGTTGCCCAAGTGAAGTTTGATAAGACATAGAGGCTTTAGTTCCTGTTGTTTGGTGGTAATATTTAATTAGAATGAGCTAATGAAGTAATGAACAGGTAGATTAAATGACAAAGGTTTATCCATGTTCATGTCCCTGACTGAATTGATGGCGCTGTTTCTTTTTTTTTTTTTTCCCCAAGATTCATTTTATTTATT